CCCACCACAGTTGTGGAGAAGTCTGACGAGAAATCGAATGGCATTTCCTGAAACTTCCGGCGCAATTGGAGACGAACTCGTCGATACTTTTCAACGGATCGGCAGGAAGTTCAGGAGATTCAATATAGTCTTACCAATGTTCTAGTGTCGCGCCGCATCTGGCGAATTCCACCTCTTGCCGGTTCTCTAACAACTTCCGATGCTGGTTAATTTCGAAATTCATAGCTTATAGCTCAAATTGTTCCCTAAGCTGCTTTTCTTTCAATGCAGTAAGCAGTATTTGTGAGCGCGTACTATTAGCTGAAAACATAAGACAAACACGATAGCCAGAGTGGGAAAGGGTATCGAAAGGGACTTGTCTCGAATTGCCCGACTCCTTGGTCAAGTTAAATCCTTATGTGACTGGCAATGAGATGAAGAAAGAAGAGTCGATATTGTGCGCTGTAACGATGCGTAAAAAGCGATTCCATACTTAGCAAAACAAAGGTTGTATTCAAAATATACAGTATAGTTTACAACACATTAATTAAATATATAAACAAACCTCAATTGTTCACGTTTTGAAGTCGACAACAATTAGCATTGGAGTAGTACTTGGGCGGATTAATTACCAGAAATCTTCACGCCTCAAGCCGACAAAAATGCAAGTGACAAAACGGCTTGGGGCCGGTTAATCGATAGAGAGACACTCATTCCTGCAAGAGGAGGATCCGACGCACGCCTTTATACGTGGACTGGTGGGAACGGGGTTCGGAATATAATGGTCAAGATCACTCCATGAACACGGAGTTCGGAACGGTAGAGAAAAGAGACGGGATTAACAAACGCGCATGCATAACTACAAAGAGAGAGAGATAACGTGTTTTGGTGTCCAAAAACTAGAGTGGTCATAAGGTAGGAAGTGTTACTACGGCTCAGGGGCTTCCATGCGGATGATAAACACATAGACATGGGTAAAGACATATCGCAGGTCTGGGTAGCCGCAAACAGATTGCGGGTCAAGAGAATTTCAAATGTATGTCTTGATTCCGCTACAATAAGTAGTTAACCAACAGGTGTTTCAAAATAGCCACCAGGAAAAATGTGCGACTCAGTGTTTGACTCAATTCCCGCTTCTACTCACCCACTAACATGGTATCGGAGAGGTCAAACATGCACGAAAATGGATGTTGAATTCAGTTTAGAGAGCAAGCAATATCACACATGCAGTCACGCTGGCTACGGTCCCGGTGGCCGAATTAATCGAGTTTCGGCTCGAAGTTGACGGCAGTCCAAACTAAGATGGCGCGTATCAATCCAGCCACACATGAACGCCACGGTCACACTAAACAAATCGGCGCAAAAAATTTACTGTTTCCGGATAACTAGCGTTCATTTGTTATTAGTCATGACAGTAGCATTTCAAACTGATACGATTGGTTCTCGTGGCAACCCCCGGATTTTAGAATTAACCTAGCTTCAGAATAGAACTGATTTCAGAGTTTCGGGCTGGGTCATGCGTAGTAATTCATTTGCTGGGAATTTGTAGACAGTTTTTCTTAAAGTATTATTAGCGTGAAAGTCGAGTATATAAAACAGTAACAAAATAAGATAGCTAACACTCACATAACGGACTAATGGCCTAGTGAAACGCGAGACAGTTAGATCCATTATGAACAAGATACAATAACCAGTAGGCTCTGTCCTAACAAATGCCAAGCGATTAAACTGTGAAACTTCCAAAAAACTAATTATATTTCTGTTTCCATTATGCAGTCCAGGATCAAGACATAGAACATCGGCTATCGAAGTGAAAGAATTCAACGACGAGCAGGTGCTAGGGGAGCACTGTATCTGGAGCCAAACTGAATTGCCAAGAAACTGCGTGAAGGTAGGTTTTGTATGCGTTTGTTTCAGATAATAAATTAGCACACAAAGTAGAATCCATATTTTACGCCAGCTGTACCTAAGGCAGGTATGTATGAAGATCTAATAAGCAACCAGGTCTGAAATAGTAACGAATAATGAGATTTATGACCTATTGAGTACAGATGAAGTGAGATCTGTCAAAACGCTTGGAGCGTTGGGCTGAGCACATTAAAAGGCAATTTAATCGACCGGAATTGTTAGATTTCTCGCTGGCCACTGGTCGCCCCGCTCCGTGGGCTGTCCCTTTGGATCCACCCTCTCGCTCAGAAGTCGAGCGTGAGATCGCACTGTTGAGGTTAAATAAAGCCGCGGGACCTGATGATCTTCCTCCAGCCCTCTTCAAATTCGGGGGACCTGATCTTGTGGATAATTTACACGAGTTAATAGTCAAACTGTGGGAGCAGGAAGTTGTCCCAACCGATTGGAGCCGACCCGTCATAGTCCCAATTTTCAAGGGAGGCTCACGATCGGAATGCCGCAGCCATAGAGGAATCAGTCTGATCTCCATCGCCTCCAAATTGCTTGCCTCTGTCATCCTTCACAGACTGACTGGCACTCGTGAAAACCAGATTCGCGAAGAGCAAGCCGGGTTTCCTCGAGGTCGTGGCTGCATTGAACACATCTTCACTTTGCGTCAGTTGTTGGAGCACCGTCACATATATTGGCAACCCACCATCGTCGTGTTCCTCGATATCAAAGGTGCATTCGATTCGGCGGATAGACATGCACTTTGGGACTGTCTACTCAGGAAAGGTGTACCTGAGAAATATGTGAATATTATCCGAGCATTATATGCGCGTAGCTCGGGCAGAGTGAGGGATTACGGCAAGTTGTCGTAGCCCTTTAATATCTCCAGCGGTGTGAGACAAGGATGCCCGCTGTCACCGTTCCTCTTCAACTTCGCTGTTGACGAAGTCATGGAAATCGCGTTCACAGGACACGACTTAGAAGGTGTGGATCTGCTCGCAGGAGAACGACTTCTTGACTTAGAGCATGCTGATGATATTGCCCTGATCTGTGACAGCTCACAAACGTGCCAAGCGGCACTGGACAGATTAGCCCTAGCTGTCCGTCACTTCGGGCTTTGCTTCGCACCCTCGAAGTGCAAAGCGTTCCTTCAAGATTGGTCTGGACTGCCTCCTTCACTGACCCTTGGTGGGGATCAGCTAGAAGTCGGTCAAAAATCCAACTACCTGGGAAGTCGTATCAGCGCCCGTGGGATTGAAGATGAGATCACGAATCGTATAGCAAAAGCTCTGGCCGATTTTGCTAATCTTCACCACTTATGGCGTCGGCGCAACATCGCCCTAGCCCTGAAGGGTAGAGTGAACAATGCAGCGGTACGTTCGACCCTACTGTACGGTTGTGAAACCTGGCCCCTTAAAGCAACGGACCTGAAGAAGCTAATTACGTTTGATCATCCGTGCCTTCACAGTTTGATCCATATCCGGTGGGAAGACGGCGTGAGCAACGAGTGTGTTCGACGCCTTGTTTACGGCACAGGAAAAGGATCTGAGCCGCTCAGCACCGTTATTTCACGCACCAGGCTCCGATGGCTCGGCCACTTGTTACGCATGCCAGCCCACCGACTCCGGCGACGTGCGTTGTTTGCGCGCCGGGGATGTGGATGGAAGAAGAGGAGGAGTGGCCAAGCGATGACTTGGTCGAGAGGAATGAAGGCCCTCACTTCGAAGCTGACCTCGGTTGGAGCGTCTCGGCTCCCTGGTTGGTGTCCGAAAGACGATGAACACGTTTGGTTGGACACACTTTTTGATATGGCTAGGAGCCGACCTCAGTGGCGTTCGTGCTGTGAGTTTCTTTGTCTCACCCCATCCCTGTTAGCCTCCCCATCCAACCACGATCTCATTATTTAGCCTTATATAATTTTGCATAGTAATTATTTTGGTGCACAGCAGCCGGCTGGTAGCTTACCGGAACGATGTCCATTCGTTACCTGTAGCTCAGCCAGTTTGCACCAGTTGCATATTTTTCTTTTGTTCTATGTATTGCGGCACAGTAGCTGAGATGTTCCCCACTAGCTAACGTTTATGATGATGAGGGTGATTAAGTACAGATAGTAAACTCGATAATGACTGTCCAAGGTCGCACATGTTGCAAAGCCCCGGTAACACATTTTTGTCGAGAGCACACATGTTGACAGATAGTTGAGGAATATATCTGATAGCAACCCACAAGCAAAAGGGGACGATTACGATGAACCCAATCCGGTTGTGTTATAATAAGTTGCGACCTGTGAAATCACGTTCACAGCAAGGCGTAGTAAATCATTTGTGACCATGAAGTTTCAAGGATTGGCTACATCCTGCAGGACAGATTTCTATGGCAAATGTTCTCGGGATGAGAATTCATGTCAGAAACTGTCACCGGTTTAGGAATGAGGAACTATCATATCAAAATAGATGAATGGATTTACAAGACCCCTTTCGGGATAGTCACATCTATGCTCTATACTTTACACTCTGCGTTCACGTCTATCGCTTTTGGATAGTAGCGACAACCATAAGTATGGTAAAATGCCTGCAAGGGAATGAATAAGTGTTGCGTCCCCAAAATTTAATGTGTCCAACATGTGAAGGACAGCGTGATGCTTAACCCAAGATGAAGTTTGCCATAGATCCTTATGCGTGTCGGGAGCCATTCGCGAGCAAAATCTCATTGGTCGACCAGTGCTATCAATTGTGATGCTGTACACCAATGATGTGCTTCAATTTTATTGATTGCTTCTCTGGCCAATCGTTTGTCGGCGATCCAAACCCAGGCAACCGGGGTCGACTGCTTGCAGCAACCAATTAACAGATAAGTCAGATTGCTTACAATCCTATCGACCCTGGACATTGTTATCTGCGGTACTTCCTAATGCCTTCCTACGTGTCCAAATTCGGTTGATGCATTGCACGCGGTAGCTGCCTATGTTCTTTCGATCTCCACCTCAGACGCATCGTCATTATCGATCAAGTCCATCATAAGGGGCTTCAAAATCAAGTGAATTTGAGGTCGGTGACGCAACTCATTATCCGCTATCAAAACCCATCTGACCATCTGATTTAACCGCGTGTATTGGTCATGGATACATGGTAAGAACGTAACCAGAGTTGCTTAATACTCAAAAACTCAGATCCTACTATAGTAGTACTTTGACTAGAAGCTTGTGTAAGTGGGATAGCGAAGTAGACCAATAACCTCGTGTCCCGCATCATTGGAAATGTAATGCAGCCGCCTAAAAAGTCAGTTTGAGGAAAAAACCCGGAGTCATCATAATACGCGATGTAGCTGGATACAAGTGAGGATGAGATCGCGGAAAATCCGAGACCATTAAAAGAAATTTGACTGCACATTTGTAAGAATCGTTCAATCCGTTAATGTTTAGGTGGATCTATCGGCGAATCACCCTAACGAAGTGGATACGAATTAGGCACAGTGTTTTAATGAAGGAATCGCATGATTCTGCTAACGAGATCGTTGAATCGACAGGAAAACACTATTAGGAAGTGCGCAGAGTAGAGCTGTTTCAGTAGAGAAGATCATGCGGCCTTTTCAATCCCACTCATTACCTGGAAGAAATTTCACCTGCGAGTAGTTTCACAGGGTGAAATTCATTAACCGCCATGTAAGATGATCGTACCAGTGCTGGAACACAGTGATAGTATAAAAAATAAATGATTACGAGACTATCGTTCGCTCGTTAGTCAGTACTAGGAGAACAGGAGTCAAGTTCAGCTATTGTTAGGCACTAAAAAGCGAATGAATGAAGGGCAATGAACCATTTTATAAGGCCATCTGCTCCAGTGGTTTTAAAAGACACTGTTTGCTGCTTTCTCGTTCCATAGCATATTGGCTAAGCCCAAACCTATTTGACGCATATTGATTGAGGCTTTTGTTTAAAACCAGCGATCAACATTCGTGCAAGCTCATCACCGACAGGTGAAGTCTGGAGACGATTAAACGCACTGCTCAATGTTTGGCTGGTGTGATGTTGCTACAATACATTTTACACAACATGATGCCCGCCACAGAAGTAAATATTTAAATTGCTTTGTGCGTGCAACCGCTCTAACGTTGACATGAAGTGAGTAAATAGTTACAAATAGAGGAAGGGACAGCGTGGGATTCCCACAGTACGCTCTGCAGTGGTACTTAGAATTGACTTCGCCATTGACTTGTGGCAACCCGATAAGCTCAGTTAACGGCCTATGGACGAACGCATCTGCTCGCTTCTGATGTGCTACTTTGTCTTGCGTGAGTGGTTTTAATTGTTGTAGCCGCGGTTGTGTGTTCAGAGTGTCCATACATTAGTTTATGTTACTTAGTTATTATGTTGCTTTCACCAACACAACAGTTGGTTCGAGTCGAGATGGATGTTACGTAAACACCAATTGGCGTTATTACTCTTCCGAGACGATTTTAGAGTCGAGCGCTTCATGGGTAGTAATGGAGTCAAATGTATCTGTCCGTGTCTGGCCTGGGTGTGTCCAGCAAACATTGTCGACACTGGAAATAGGCAATATTTGCACGAGAACACTCACGAACTGAGGATAAATGAAAAACAGGCACTTTACCATGAGTAACGGTGCACAGGGTTCACGGTAGGTATTATTTTCTGTGGCGTTGTTAATGTCTTAAGTGGTGCTGGATGATCAACCGACCCATGATGGATCGACAGACGGCCGAACTTGCGCAAAGTGCTGTTAAATGACTGCTGCAAAATGGATCACACACTAGGGAGCTATCGAAACCTGTTTTGTCTATTCACTTCTTGTAGACGGCTGAAGTAAACACACAGGTACCTCGGTTTGTTGAGCAGCAGACAGGGAGCAAGGGTGAGCGATGAATGTCGAATTATTCCCAAGTAATCTCAGGACATTCACTGAGATACAAGTTAAGCAAATTTGTAAAAGACAAGGTGAGTCACAAAACGAATATATGAAAATGACTGAACAAATCAGGTTGGAAAGAGTGAAAGTGGCCCAAATAGTGTATCGTCCTTAAGAATTCCCAGAATCTTCCGTGGAATGAATGGCACAGATGAGTGGAAGAACTACTAGAAACCACACAGCGTCTGCCAGTCGAAGACAGCAGACCTATACGCTCTAAGCGGATCTATCCCCGTATACTGATCGTAAACCAACGATAGAAACGTCTACCTGAATTTACTAGATTACAATGAGCAAACAAGCATATCTATTTATCCTTTAGACAAGCCAGCCGGCCCCCGATCCACCTGGAAATCTAACTGCCAGACTTGTGACAATTGATGATCGATGGCTCATCAGTTGGACGGCACCACCTATGGATGAGGGTGGAGAAAACAACGGAGTGAAGATTATAGGTTACAGAGTGAGTTGTGTGTTTTGCCCTGCTCTTCCAGCTGAATGATCAACTCGAAGACGTTTCATCGTCAGACTAGGCAACACCACCAGTGCGCCTTCAAAGGCTTGTCTCGCCAGCCTTGTAAGCGACTTCAAGATCCAAGTGCTTATTGATAGAGTTCTGCTTTGAATATCAGGCTTCAGTAAACTCATGTGCTTGCCGCCTTGTGGTTATTGCGAGGATTCCGAAGTGCGCCAAGTCAATTAGGTGGTTTTCGGCATACATATACACGGACATCAATGAGTTCTGATCATGGTGGCGAATGGTTTGGCTATGTTGATGTAGCCATATGCCAAGCCTCCTTCCTGTTTATCCTATGTAGTATTTATCATAATTTCGGCAGTAGATGTTGTAGATTACACCAGATGTTTCCCATTGGCTAAGTAAATTATTCACTTTGAAGATATTATTTCGAAATGCTTCTGTTGCTTGGTGGGCAATTGTGACTCCTAAGGGTAACAGAAGTCTCGCTGCCATTTCAAAGACTCAATTGAAGTAAGACGACATTACTCGCTTTTCAGCCGTTGCATGTGTTGCGATGTGGTGTTGCCTTATTTGGGACCAAGCAGCACAGAATGAAGCCTTTTGGGCACGAATTCTGCTTGAACAAGCTAAAGAGAAGGTCTTCGTCTGCCTTAGGTGCTGTTGTCTACAATGCGTCCGTGCTCGTCGGAATATGGTTGCCACGCAGCTGCGCGTGTGGACTACTACACCAGTTCCCGGCCAAGATGTTCTCTTGGGCAACAGAAATCATCTGAGGGGGCATTCAACATGAGTCTACTCAATTAATTTGTTCCGTGCGTAGGTGCTGAAGCGTCCCACCTGCACCCCTATGACTTAGTGCGTCTGAGGTTCAATTGGCTGAAGACGACGGGCTAGACACGCACACCTACACACCTGCACAAGTGACTGGCATACGCACGGAACAAATTAATTGAGTAGACTCATGTTGAATGCCCCCTCAAATGATTTCTGTTGCCCAAGAGGACAACTTGACCGGGAAATGGTATAGACGATTGCTACTGTGGTTGAGGAGCTGATCCTTATGCGTCGGTTTTCAATAGATTATTGGGTCCAGTGGTAAAGAATCAGTTATTTGTCTGAGAACGTCTAATAATAGTAATTGCCCCTTGCCTCTTGCGAAAACACTAAGTACAAGTGGAGCGCTGGATAACATTAGGCCCACGAGGACCACATTGGAAAGAGTAACGTTGGAGCTTTTAACGGGTTGATGAGGTGGCTCTCCCTCGGATCGTGGCCATAATACTAGAAGTACACAAAAAGGTTTATTTTCAACAAAAGTATGAATTTCTGAACAGATCGCAGTTTAATTCAAAGGTTTGACGGTGGTGTACTAAATTCGGAAGTGTTTTCGTTTCCTTTATACAGGTTACATTCAATGAAACTGAAGTGAAACGAGTCTCTTCTCCGTTTTTAACAAGCGCCATTGTGATGTTGCCACGTTGTCCGAATGCAGAATTTCGAGGCACCATAAAAGTGCAGTCGATTGGTGCAAGCGAGGTGTTTTCTGAGGCGGTGGATATGGCGCTGAATGCAGCATAAACAGAAAATCACTTTACTCAAGCCAACCGAGATGGTTCGTTGCCCAATCGTCGCATAACATCAGGGAAGATATATTTTGTTAACCGATCCAACAGTTCTATTGCTAACAATACAGCACCTTACAGGCTATATATTCTCATGAGCTGACACAACAAGCACAATTAGATTGCAAAAACTGTGATCAGATGCATAGCACCGAGCACAGCAAACTGTACTACAGAAAGACGAAGCCCAGTTGAGTGGTCTACTGCGATCCGTCCTTTGAAGTGCGGTGGATCCAGTTGTTTTGATTAGTGTCGCGAGAAATAATAGTGAACAAGAAATGTAAAAAAAAGAAAAAAAGCTATCTCAAAAGGAAGGAGAACTCTAGAAGCACCAAGGGAAGCAGTCAGGATCAACAACGACAAACTTACAGAACCAACCATTAATGTGGCCATAGCTCCAAGTGGCCATTAAGTACGAAGGCACGCATAAATCTGAATAAGTACTTCGGCACTTTCCCATGCCTCTCGGGTTTGATGCGTACCTAGGATTTCACCGAACGCACAAATATGCATTCGGCGGACAGGCGAAAAACGACCGGAGTAGTGTTCGTCTTCTGTTGGTATGGTCCGTTGTTGGCATTTCACCGTCCGGTTTTCTTGGTACTTCGGCAGTACCGACTATCGGTGTAGTAGCATCTGTTTTGCCCCACCAAAATTAGAATGAAACACCCCCCGTACTGCATCAGGGTCTGTTGCCAAACGTCAGACGAGAAAACGAGTATTACTTCCTCGGAACTCCCGACAAATTGAGCAATACCCTTGCAGGTGCTATTGGTCATTCACCTAATCTCTTTATCACGTTGGCACCTGCTACATCAGTGTCAGCTCAGCTCTCACTGACTGATTCACTAAGACCGCAAAGTTCCCATACACGAACTGGCCACAAGATGTGTGGTGGACTCAGGTGTTTGCTTCCTTGAAAAGTGAGGCATATCGCAGGGTATTTGTCGATGTGACCACAATAGATGATGCAGTAACTAAATGAATCGATTGATTCACATGATGGATCGAAGATAACGACAAAAGGTCAATCCAGCCACGCAATAACACCTCTCACCTTACAGGTGCGGATGCATGTCAGGTGTTACCACGCACCGTGCTAGCGTATCGGGAAGGATTTGCAGGCCAGTTGAGGCAAGTCTCTGAAGAGGTGCATAGGCACCATGATAAAACAGTCATAGCGGAAGAAAAACTAGAAATTTAGCAACTTTCGTTATGGCATACTCTGATAGCACATTCCCTGTTTGTTTCCACGTTAACCTCCGAATTGTCGTGTAGAGAAGATAGGATTAAATTGAAAATATTTTTCCATTTTCAGACGGAGAGAATCGGTTCATTTTGACATTATTGTTGGTCGCCAGTCAATGCGCTGAGACCAAACTAACAAATGTGAAATCCTGACAAGTTCCAAGTAACGAAGTGCCCTAAAATAGCACAATCATACTTGCAAACGCAGCGATGTGGAAGACGTAGAATTTTGAATCGATTAAGCATTTCTCTAAAGAAAATCACATGTACGGTAGTAGGTGGTTAACAAAATTCCACATCGCTGCGTTTGCAGCAGTGGTTGTGCTGTTAAGGCACCCTGTCATTTGGGTGGGAAAGCAAATAGGAATAGCGGTGAGGTGAGAAGCAGGAGTTTGGAACCGCGAGTCTTGTCAAGGCTTCGTCTTTCTTGGTTTAGCTGCGGAGGCTCTGATTGATCCAGACGAACTTACTTCCTACGTCTCAAAAGTAAAAATTTATTTCAAGAGAGCAAAAACGAACAGCATTTATGCGGGATAACCTGAATTCAGATTATTTCGTGTTTTCTCTTTCAGCCGCTTACAGACAAATCGTGGAAAGGGTAAAGGAATGCAGTTGAAAAAGGGGGTCAGTAGGAAAATCAATAAAAAGCTGAGCAAACCAAGATCATTGCCCGCGTCTTACCAGGACAAGGCAAGACTGGCCACACGGTCTACCTGTTTGCAAAGGTTCGGTTTCATTCGTCGGATGGCCGAGGCTTCAGTCAAACGAAGCAAGCTCGCGCTGTTTTGTCTGCTGATAACATTGAATGCGTCACGTGGGTTTTCGCACAAGGTACAATCAAAAGTCCTTTTGGAAACGTTAAACAAATGTCATCCTAAAATCAAGTTCACTATGGAAAGTAAATCAGAGGATTCATTTCATTTTCTTGACGTTTCACTTAAAAGAAGAGCAGATGGTTCACACATAAGATCGATTTACCGGAAACCAAGCTGGACCGGACAATAAATACATTTCAACAGTTACTGTCCAATGAACTATAAACGATCCCTTGTTCGAACTTGTTTTGTTAGAGCACACCGAATATGCTCTGAAGAGTCAATCGAGGCTGAATTACGATACATCCAATCTAATCTACGCAATAATGGCTATTCTAATAAATCCATCGCCAGGTATGGGAATGAGGTTGCTAAGAAAGAAAGACGAATGGATATCCCAAAGAAAATGGTCGTCATCACGCTACCATACAAAGGGGAACAGAACGACAGAAGATTGTGCTACCGATTACGCCAAGCCATAAAAAGATGCTACTACGCAGCTGAGCTCGTGTTGTTACATCAAACCAAGAAGCTGTTCCATGAATCCAACTTGGATAGGCCTCACTCTCAGGTTACCGTCTCATGTGTTTACCAATTCACGTGTACTTGAGGTAGCATGTACATTGGCCGAACCGAGAGAAGGCTATCAATCAGGATCATGGAACATGTCCCACGGAACCTGGCAAATAGTGGACCTAAGCTTCCTGCCAGCTGTATCGCTCAGCATCTGATCAATTATACCTTGTGCGAAAACCCACGTGACGCATTCAAGGTTATCAGCAGACAAAACAACGCGAGCTTGCTCGGCCATCCGACGAATGAAACCAAACCTTTGCAAACAGGTAGACCGTGTGGCCAGTCTTGCCTTGCCCTGGTAAGACGCGGGCAATGATCTTGGTTTGCTCAGCGTTTTATTGATTTTCCTACTGACCCCCTTTTTCAACTGCATTCCTTTACCCTTTCCACGATTTGTCTGTAAGCGGCTGAAAGAGAAAACACGAAATAATCTGAATTCAGATTATCCCGCATAAATGCTGTTCGTTTTTGCTCTCTTAAAATTTCTGAAGGGAAGTGGCTGCATAAAATTTATTTCCACGTCTTAGTCCTATCCTCACTACAGAACGATTCGGAGGCTAACATGAAAACAAACTGGAAATGTGTTACAAGCGCTAAGCTTACCAAGCAAACACCTAACGAAACATACGCATCACAAAGTAGGAGTTATTCGTGATTGTTT